AATAAAATGATGATAATATTAGCAATAATAATAATAGTAATAACAATGATAATAATGATTATACTAATAGCAATAACAACAACAATATTAATGATGAAAATGATAATAATAAGAACAGCAATCGTAATAATAACAATAGTATCAACAACAATATTAAAGATGAAAACAATAATAATAACAACAATGATAATATTAATAATAATAATAACAACAATGATAATAGTAACAATAATAATAACAACAACAATTATAACAACAAAAATAACAACAATAATATTAACATCAACGGAACGAAAAAGCCCCATGGAAACCCCCCCTCCCCCCTCCCTTCCCTCTCCTCCCCTCCCTCTCCTCCCTCCCCCCTCTCCTCCCCTCCCTCTCCTCCCCCCTCCCTCTCCTCCCTCTCCTTCCCCCTCCCCTCCTCCCTCTCCTCCCCTCCCCCCCCTCCTCCCTCTCCTCCCCCTCCCCTCCTCCCTCTCCTCCCCCCTCCCTTCCCCTCCCTCTCCTCCCCCCTCCCTCCCCTCCCTCCTCCACTCCCTTCCCCTCCCTCTCCCTTCCCCTCCCTCCCTGCCGCGGCCTTACCCTTGAACTCGTGGAGGCCGAAGTCAGCCACCATCAGCACCCAGCGGGAGTCGATCAGGCAGTTGCCGGAGCGAAGGTTTCCGTGAGACACGATCTCGCTGTCGTGCAGGAACATCATGCCCTAGAGAGAGAGAGAGAGAGAAAGGGGAAAAAAAACTCATTATGGAAACCCTTTTTAACTCGATTGCCGGGAAGGGGAGGGGGGCAGGGGACGGGATCGTGAGGTCCGTTTTTTTTTTCTTCTTTCTTTTTCTTTTTTTCTCTCTTTTTTTCTTTTTTTCCTTTTTCTTTTTCTTTTTCTTTCTTTTTTTTTTAGCTGTCGGGTTTATTGCTCTGTTTATTCGTTTGTCTAATATTCGTTTGTTGTTTGTATTTCTCCCTTTATGTATAATTCTTATGTTTGTTTATCCCATATCTATTTATTTGTTACTTATTTGTTTAAACCTTATTTATTTACTTGTTTGTTTGTTTGTTTGACTGCTAGTGCTGGTGTCATTACATATCTTTGATCATTAAAGGTATAACTATTCTTATAGATTTCGTTAAAAAATTCGATTGAAACCACAAGTGAGATGGAAAATAAGAAATCCGTATCTTTTCGATTCGACTCAAACGACACGACAGCCACAGAGGATAGTTTTCTTTAAGGTATTGTCGACTGAAGAGGATTTCAGTGGACTCGAAACGTATCGCTCGTGGCCTCGAGAAAGGGTCTTTACGCGCTCGAAAGACCTCGTTCGCTCGTTCGCTCGTTCGCTCGTTCCCGTGGAAGAGGGAGGACTGTCCTCTTTGTGTGTTCGTATTGGGATTGCGTCTTCGGCCTCTCTTTAATCTCTTTCTGTCTGTCTGTCTGTGTGTCTGTCTCCTCCTTCTGTGTGTTTTTTGGGCCTTGATGTCGGCGCAAGGATTTCGTGGTTAATGAATGTTGATGATTAAAGTTAAAGGAGAAGGCGGAGAAAATCACACACACACACACACACACACACACACACACACACACACACACACACACACACACACACACACACACACACCACACACACACACACACACACACACCACACACACACACACACTCACACACACACACACACTCACACACACACACACACACCACACACACACACACCACACACACACACACCACACACACACACACTCACACACACACACACAACACACACACACACACTCACACACACACACACACACCACACACACACACACACTCACACACACACACACACACACACACACACACACACACACACACACACACACACACACACACACACACACACACACATAAAGACACACAGAGATAGGCAGACACATATAGATAGATAGACATAGATAGACAGACACAGATAGACAGACACAGATAGACAGACACAGATAGACAGACACAGATAGACAGACACAGATAGACAGACACAGATAGACAGACACAGATAGACAGACACAGATAGACAGACACAGATAGACAGACACAGATAGACAGACACAGATAGACAGACACAGATAGACAGACACAGATAGACAGACACAGATAGACAGACAGAGATAGGCAGACACATATAGATAGATAGACATAGATAGACAGACACAGATAGACAGACACACAGGCAGGCAGAGAAGAGAGTATCAAACGTAAAAAAGGCGTCATATTACGAAATGAACAGATATTGACTTATGATCCACACTAAACCAATAATTCTCAGATTTATTGATTTATTTACCTATATTATTAAGGATTAGATTAATAAAGATATTAACTTTACTCGTCGTACACCAGGTCTATAACTGACTCAAAATAAAGATACTTTTGGAGTCATTAATGAGTTGAAAAAAAAAGAATTTCACTATCGAGGAAAATGTTTCGCCAAATAAAAAAAATAGTAAAACAAAAGAAAAGAGA